GCCTTGAAGTCTCTGTTTGCTAATGTTTTTTAAAGTCTAATGGAGGCCTCTCAGTGGTCCCATTGTGGGGCATTGGCCTCTAAGTGTGCAAACTGGTTTATGGTTCTGTTTGTTATATTTTGGTAAAATGCTCTGGTGGCTTTAAAAGGCTTATTGATGTTACATGTGGACCCAGGGGTATCGGGAAAAGTCTATGCGCTCTCCCTATTTTAAAGACTCTCCCCATTGTTTGACTTTGTGGAGACTCTTTCGGTCCTTGACCTAGTGTCCCTGAAAACCCACCTCTTCAGGGAAGCCTATCTCACCCTCACCTAACTGCTGCTCTCCTTCATTCCTCCTACCACTCCATCCCCCACAGCCACTTCCTCCTGTACCACTACCCCCTCCCTCCTAGATTGTAATCTCGAAAGAGTAGGGGCCCTATAACCCCTCGTGTGCTGTTTGTAGTTGCTGTAATGTTTCATGTATTGTCCCCCCCTCTATTGTACAGCGCTGAGCAAACCCTTTGGCGCTATATAAACTCGATGTAATGTAATGTAATGTGTCTAGGATAATGGTATATTACTATCTCACGTTGCCTATTATCAGTTAGCCTGTAGTTGGATGTGGCCCATTTTTCGGCCTTGTCATCCTTGGTTTCTCTTTTTTTTACTTTCTTTCTTTTTCTAACCCTTTCCACTTTTTCTGTTTGAGGGTCAACCCGGGAATCTTGAACTGCCCCTGGATACTTGATACTCCATGCGGACGGGTGAGTTTGCCTGATGATAGCCATGCCACTTGCTTCCCATGTCTACCCTAAAACAATGCACTGCCATGATCCGCTTGCTCTCTCATAATGTCCATGGGTTGGGCTACCTTTCTAAGTGACTCAAAATATTCTCCCATTATAAGTCTCTGGGAGCCAACATAGTGGCCTTGCAGGAAACATATTTTGCCCCTTATTTTACCCTCAGATATATTCATAGGGATTTTCTGACTTGTTTTTTCGCCAATGCCTCCGAAAAAAAAATCATTTACTGAAACTAAAGTTTTAAGGGATAGATAGGGGTAATACCTTCTGGTAAAGTGTCATTTGGAAGGTAATATGGTGTCTTTTCTTATTTACTATGCCCCTAATACGAACCAGGTGGCCTTTTTCAGTTCACTTTTTAAATCTCTGTTTAAAGAACTGGAAGGAGATGTGATTTTGGCAGGGGACTCAAATCTAGCTTTAGACCATATACTCGATAAATCCCATGTAATCAAACTTAAATCACCTTCTAAAGAAAGCCACAATTTTGTGCAGCTTTTACATTGCTTTAAACTTATTGACCCATGGCTTACACCACAGCTGGGGGACATACTCCCCTTTGGGTTTCTATCAAAGCTCTTTCCTGTCACCCTCTAGCTGTTGGGGCATTACTTTGGCTTCCAATCGATTGTGCCCCCCTATATTGTGCCCCACTCTGTCGTTTTTTCTTTGGTGGTTTGGGATGGGGTATGCCATCGCAAGTCATTAGCACCCCACATACACCTAGTGTTCCTTTTTTTGCAACCCTGAATTTGTGCCTGGATTAGCACCGGCCCCCTTTCAATGGTGGATCAATAAAGGCTTTCTGCGGATAGGAGACTATCTTAACGGTGCTTGTAAACATTCTCTGCAATATTTTAAGGACAAGCTGCATATGCCTACCACTGAAATCTTCAGATATAACAAGATTGTCTCATTTCTCCACTCAAAGCTTGCTTTATTGGATGAGTCACCTTTGTTCACCGCCTTTGAACTTTTCTGCCTGAACAGTGATTCCCCAAGAGGCCGTGTCTCTACAATATATGCTCTCCTCACTGATCCAAATTGTAAATTCCCTTATATGGAACATTGGGAAAGAGATTTAGCTGTTAATTATGAATTATCGGATTGGCAGGACATTGCCTTGGCACTGTCGAAAATTTCTATCAATACTACCTTAATTGAAGCACATTATAAAAACTTTGTTGAGATGGTATTTGGTTCCTACCCGGATTGCAAGGATGCATCCGTCTGCTTCTTTGATGTGTTTCCGGCATTGTGGCCAGGCGGGGGTCTATGCATCACATCTGGTGACAATATCCGCTTGTAACTAGATTTTGGATTCGCATGTTCAGTTTGGTAAATTCAGTGATGGGAATAAATATTCGCAGATCCCCGGAGATGGCGCTCTTTCACAAATTTCCAGATAATGTTCCCAAGAAATCCCATAACTTGATCTCCTATATATTCAGCCAGCTTGGAGAGATGCTAGATGTCATAGAGGGAGTGATCAAGGCATCTGGAACCCTGGGCATCCTGCAAGAGATGTAAGACAGTTGTCCTGGGTGCACACCCTAGGGCATTTCTGACAAGCTAGTTAGTGGAGCCAAGTACTGGAACTTGTTCTGGCACTGGGCTCTGGAATTTAGTCTGAAATCCTGGGATGCCAGGATTTAGTTCAGATCACAGTCCAATATGTCGAATCTAGGAAGGTTGGGATATGTGCTTTAACACTTGCTCCACAGTGCCTGCAGTAGCAAAGGTCATTGAGGTCTTGTTTTAAAGCTTGTTAAAATATTTTTAAATATTTGATTTTCCATATCTCAGTCACAGATTCATGTTATGTTTCTCTGCATAGTATGTGATTACACAGCTCATCATCAAAAATTAAAGGAACCCTTTGAAATCAGCGTATAGCATCAAGTCAATTGAACTCCTGGGATATTGATCTGGTCAGTTGAGTAGCAGAGGGGGTTGTTAATAAGCTTCAGCTGCTTTGTTGTTAATCAAATTAACAACAGGTGCACTAGATGGGCAACAATGAGATGACCCCCAAAACAGGAATGGTTTTACAGGTGGAAGCCACTGAAATTTTTTTCGCTACTCTTCTTCTCTGACTATTTTCATTAGTTTTTAGCTATGGTCAATGTCACTACTAGTAGAAGAGGTGAAACCTGGACTCCTCTTGGATGGCACATCAATATGTGCCATTGCCAGAAGGTTTGCTGTGTCTTAAGAACATGGAGGAGATTCCAGGAGACAGGCAGTTACTCTAGGAGAGCTGGACAGGGCCGTAGAAGGTCCTTAACCCATCAGCAGGACCGGTACCTGCTCCTTTGTGCAAGGAGGAACAGAATGAGCACTGCCAAAGCCCTACAAAATTGCCTCTAGCAGACCACGAGTGTGAATGTCTCTGACCAAACAATCAGAAACAGACTTCATAAGGGTTACCTGAGGGCCCGATGTCCTCTAGTGGGCCCTGTGCTCACAGTCCAGCACCATAGAGCTCAATTAGCATTTGCCATTGTACACCAGAATTTGCAAGTCCACCACTGGCGCCCTGTGCTTTTCACAGATGAGAGCAGGTTCACCCTGAGCAGACCCTGACAGACATGAAAGGGTCTGGAGAAGCTGTTATGCTGCCTGCAACATCGTTTAGTATGACCGTTTTGTTGGTGGGTCAATGATGGTCTGGGGAGGCATATCCATGGAGTGACGCACAGACCTCTACAGGCTAGACAATGGCACCCTGACTGCCATCAGGTATCGGGATGAAATCCTCGGACCCATTGTCAGACCCTACACTGGTGCAGTGAGTCCTGGGTTCCTCCTTATGCATGACAATGCCCGGTCTCATGTGGTTAGAGTATGCAGGCAGTTCCTGGAGGATGAATGAATTGATACCATTCAATGGCCCCCATGCTCACCTGATATAAATCCAATAGAACGCCTCTGGGATATCATGTTTTGGTCCATCTGATACCACCAGGTTGCACCTCAGATTGTCCAGGAGCTCAGTGATGCCCTGGTCCACATCTGAGAGGAAATACCCCAGGATACCATCCGTCGTCTCATTAGAAGCATGCCCCAATGTTGTCAGGCATGCATACAAGCATGTGGGGGCCATACAAACTACCGAGCACCATTTTGACTTGCTGCAATGAAAATTCAGCAAGATGGACTAGCCTGCTGCATCATTTTCTCACTTTGATTTTCGGGGTGTCTTTGAATTCAGTCCTCTGTAGGTTGATAATTTTCATTTCCATCAAACGATGGGGCATCTTTATGTTCCTAACACATTACCCAGTCCATATCAGTATAGATATCCAGCGTGATATTTTTCCCCATTGAGATCTGATGTGTTTTCAAAGAGTGCCTTTAATTTTTTTGAGCAGTGTATGTAAACTGTACTTCCTTTCTTTCTGACCATTCAGCACTGACTAGCCAAACGTAAAAATGTTTTTTTTCTTTATATCATGCTACCACTTTATTTTTTAGTAAAGCTAGCACACTTCGGCCTTAGGGACATTTTGTTTCAATGACATGTTACATTTTTGCTTAAATGTCTCCTGAGGTTTGGCATCGCTTGCTTTCACCGTTTATTAAAGTCTTAAATCTAACATAAAATATCCACTGTTCAATATTCTAATTTCTGTAAAGAATCTGTTGAAATTTGATTCACTCAAAAGATATTTTTTAAAACCTTAGTGCAGGGCAGCTGTGTTTGTTTTAGAGATCCAACCAAGTTTTTTTTTCATTTTTTAGTTCCCGGTTCATAATTTGGCCGAGAGTACCAACTACCTTTGTCACTAATTACATATACTATGCTTAATTTAATAATTGCTGTTCTGTTAAATATCATAATGGGGTTGATTTACTAAACTGGAGAATGCAAAGTCTGGTGCAGTAGTACATGGTAGCCAATCAGTTTCTAACTTCAGCTTGTTCAATTAAGCTTTGACAAAAAACCTGCAAACTGATTGATTTCTATGTAGAGCAGCACCAGATTTTGCATTCTCCAGTTTTATTAAATCCCCCCATAGAAACTAATTGTTTCATTGTTTGTTTCATTATTTCATTGTTTTTTTTTTTCAGGTTCACACTATAATGCTGCGCTGAGGTGCTTTTTGTTGTGGTGCATTACACAGTACAATGCACCTCATCGCATGCCACCACACCATAGACAGTCACAGTGCAATGTAGTGCATAAAGTTGAGTAAGGTATATTTTTGTGTCAGTTAAAAAAAGAAAAAAGAATAAATTGCATGATACACTATATTGCCAAAAGTATTGGGACACCCCTCCAAATCATTGGATTCAGGTGTTCCAATCACCTCCATGGCCACAGATGTATAAAATCAAGCAACTAGGCAAACAGATTGCCTCTACAAACATTTATGAAAGAATGGGTCGCTCTCAGAAGCTTAGTGAATTCAAGCGTAGTACTGTGATAGGTTGCCACCTGTGCAATAAGTCAATCTGTGAAGTTTCCTTGCTAATGAATATTCCACAGTCAACTGTTAGTGGTATTTATTATGTATTTATTACAGGTACTTATATAGAGCCATCAATTTATGCAACGCTTTACGTATATATATTGTACATTCACATCAGTCCCTAACCCTCAAGGGGCGTACAATCTAAGGTCCCTAACTCACATTCATACATACACATACTACGGCCAATTTAGACAGGATCCAATTAACCTACCAGCATTTCTTTGGAGTGTGGGAGGAAACTGGAGTACCCGGAGGAAACCCACTCAGGCACAGGGAAAACATGCAAACTCCAGGCAGGTACTATAACAAAGTGAAAGCAACTGGGAACAACACCAACTCAGCCACAAAATGGTAGTCCACGTAAAATGACAGAGCAGGATCAGCACATGCTCAAGCGCACAGTGTGTAGAAGTCGTCAATTGTCTGCAGAGTCAATAGCTAAAGACCTCCAAACTTCATGTGGCCTTCAGATTAGCACAACAAGAGTGCATAGAGAGCTTCATGGAATGGGTTTCCATTGCTGAGCAGCTGCATCCAAGCCTTACATCACCAAGTGCAATGCAAAGCTTCGGATGCAGTGGCGTAAAGCACACTGCCACTGGACTCTACAGCAGTGGAGACGTGTTCTGTGGCATGACAAATCATGCTTCTCTATTTGGCAAACCGATAGACATTTCTGGGTTTGGTGGTTGCCAGGAGAACGGTACTTACCTGACTGCATTGTGCCAAGTATACAGCTTGGTGGAGGGGGGATTATGGTGTGGGGTTGTTTTTCAGGGGTTGGGCTTGGCCCCTTAGTTCCAGTGAAGGGAATGCTTAAGGCATCAGCATAGCAATACATTCTGGACAATTTCATGCTCCCAACTTTGTAGGAACAGTTTGGGGATGGCCCCTTCCTGTTCCAACATGACTGCGCACCAGTGCACAAAACAAGGTCCATAAAGATATGGATGAGCGAGTTTGGGGTGGAGAAACTTGACTGGTCTACACAGAGTCCTGACCTCAACCCGATAGAACACCTTTGGGATGAATTAGAGTGGAGACTGCAAGCTAGGCTTTCTCGTCCAACATCAGTGCCTGACCTCACAAATGCGCTTCTGGAAGAATGGTCAAACATTCCCATAGACACACTCCTAAACCTTGTGGACAGCCTTCCCAGAAGAGTTGAAGTTGTTATAGCTGAAAAGGGTGGGCCAACTCAATATTGAACCCTACGGACCAAGACTGGGATGCCATTAAAGTTCATGTGTGTATAAAGGCAGGCATCCCAATACGTTTGACAATATAGTGTATGTTGTAAAACTGATCACATCACCACCAGTGTACATGTGTTTTAACACCCAGGGTGGTGTGAAAAAGCCCTTCAAAAACAATAAAAAATGTAAACACTAAAATGCATTGTTACAATGCATTGCAATGCAGGTGCACAATGTACACCAGTATGTGCATTATACGCATCATAAAGCATGCATATTGGTGTGAATGGGCAGCAGTTGCAAGCAGCAAAAAAGAATTGTTGCTTGCAAAACTGAATGTGTTGTGCGTCTTTTATAATACACCTGTAGATATAATGCATTTCCCCCTGAGGGTCATGGGAGGAGGAACTATTATGAGGGGCTCCCACATTACCTGTTGGACTTTTATTTAATTTATATTAATAGACATAAAACAGGAGGAACATACAGAGATGGGTGGAGACAAACAAAACCTCCAGGGGGACAGGAACAGCATTGAGAATTATAGTATGGGACCTTACTACTCAAGACAACCTGTTACTCAAAAACACTTTTAGATGAACTGGCCATTTCAAAGCTCTTGTATCTGGACTCTAGACAAAACCACGAGAATTCTGAAAGATTGCTTTTGCTTTGATAACCATGCCTTTATATCATTACCTGCAATTAAAAAAATAAAACGAAAATAGCTTGACTTACAAATTGATGTATTAGTTAGTGGCAGCACCAGAGGGCAGACATGTGTGCAGGATGATCTGGTATACTCGACATCCACACTAGCATTTTAAGTCTCTGAGAGCTCTACGGATTGATTTCTGCTTCTGCCTACCTGCCTACCCTCACACTCTGGTTCACATTTTTGCATGCTGTTCACACATTAGATAGGGCTTTTGTGAGTACTGATATTCATTTAGGAGGAGGGGGCATTTCTGCTTCAACATGCATGTAAATGCATGTATAGGACGTTTTACATGCAGTTTCATCTCTATGGCAGATAAGCTTTGGCACACTGTGGCAGAAATGATGCTGGCAGAAATTTCATGAGAAGAAAATCCGTAAGATGAGAACACTGTTATTGAACATCATGGCACAGATCTCAAATTATGCAGATTCTTCTAAATTTTAAAGCACCAAAAACTTGAAAGCTTAACTCTGGCAAACAGCTAATTTTTGCTGTTTGGTAATATTTTTTTTGTGTTTCTGTTCATCCAGTCCAGAAATTTACACAGCTCTGCCAGACAGAAAGCAACACTATAGTTTTAGACCAGTGGTCTCCAAACTGCGTCCCGGGGGCTGGATGTGTCCCTTTGCTTGGCTTTATGCAGCCCTTGAGGCACTTTTCCTCCCTCTGACACAAGACACTATTCCTCCCACTGACACCAACAATGGGGGATAATTCCCGCTACTAACATCAGCAATGGGGCCCAGTGACACCAACAATTGGGCCCTATTTCTCCCACTGATACCAACAACAGGGCACGATTCCTCCCACTAATACCAATGATGAGGCACTCAAACTGACACCAAGGATAGGGCATTATTCCCCCCACTGACACCAGCAATGGGGCACTATTCCTCCCTCTAATACCAAAGATGCATTGTTTACTCTCACTGACACCAGGACAATTTCAACTCCCAATGGCCACAGACTGGCCGCCCTAAAGCCCGAAGGATAGTAAACTGGCCCTTTGTTTAGAAAGTTCGGAGACCCCTGTTTTAGACAGCGAAAAAGATACAGTGATAACTTTTCTCCATCCAAAACTTGCGGACTGGATAGTGAAGGAGCAATAGCTGATGAGGTTATCCCTATGTTCTCTCTGCTTTCTCCTACTATCAGTATATTCCTTATCAGAACATTTGCATACAGATCCCCTGATTGGCTCCCAGCACAGCCCCTCCCTCTACTAGTTATGGCGTTCCTTTACAGAGAATGCATGGCACTGATGGATGTGATTCTCATTTGAGGGATGAGGTATTGGGCCTTTTACTTATGTGGATATTATACACCATTAGGGTGCCACCATCCTGTGAGGTTTGCATCTTCTCCATGGCTTTTGTCGGTTTCAGCCCTAGTAGGCCCTATGTCCACCTAGGAGACTTTCTTTTGTGCAATTGGTAAATCATCTGGTCATGTGAGAGACCATTTAGCCTATTGTTATAGATGATGTTTATGTATGTTTTCCAATATCATGGTATTTAAAGTGTTACTAAACCCACAACCGTAAAATCAGTCTGTATATGCAGTAAAGCTGGCTTGTTATACTCACTGTGGAGCCTAAGGGGTTAATTCTCTGGATTGTTTAAAAATGCTGTTTGATTCTGACTTCACTGATCCTCCCCTTCTTCCAGTGTCTCCCTCTTATCTCCTGATATCTCATATCCTGTGGAGACACTCTGCACATGCTCAGTTTAGTGTGTATTGCTAGAGATGGGTTTTTTTTTTCTTGTGAGAGTGTGTATGATCAGCACAGGGTGAATCAGCACTGTCCAGATAGAGGTCAGGGGTTTTGCATCCTCCTAGAGCAGAAAGAAAACTCCTCCTACAAGCTTTAACATGTAATCTCAAAACAACAGAGTGCAGCGCTTAGAAAGATGAAAAGTCAATAAGGTGATAATCAAATATCCACAATAGTACACTGTAGAAATACGAATTCCCACGGCCGCCACTCTGTCAAATTAACAGAAATGCGCACTCACCGGAAACGCATGGGTTATGCGCATGTGTGATCATGCATCATCACAGGCAATGGATACATCAGAAGTTAGGCAGCCAGGCATCTCTCTCACGGTGGGTCATCACAGACTCCTAAGCCAGGTCCAGGGGGTCCCCTTAAGGTCAGCCAGGTGCTTCATGAAAAAACCTTCTCTCAGGGTGGCAAAGTGCTTTCTCTGTGGGAGTGAAAGCTCCAGACAGGAGCCCCAGAAAACAGATGCCCAAGATAGTGTAGTATGTCCAAAAGGTAAATGTTTATTTATGAAAGCAACAGGGCAGTATGCATGTTATACATCATGTAAAAACATATACAGCAGTACTGACCCCAGTTATGATGGCCGCCGGGCCTCCTCGTGGCTCCGGCGGTGGAATGACGTCACGCTCTGCACAGTTCCTCCTTAGGCCTTTCGTGCTAAAGGCACATCATCAGAGGGGAGACTGTACAGAAGCGTTACAGTAAATCCCCTGGGGTCTGTGGCATAGTCAGTAACCGGTACTGGGGTTCTGTGTATTGAGACTTCCCTGTCTCCTCCTTATTATGTGTTAGATCGCGGATCCACGGCAAAATGGCGCTGCCGTGCTCGCGCATGCGCAGTGCTTGCTCTCTCCGGAAAATGGCCGCGGCTCACTGCGCATGTGCCAATTCCCCTATTTTTGGCACTGACGTTGGTCACGCTTCTGTACAGTCTCCCCTCTGATGATGTGCCTTTAGCACGAAAGGCCTAAGGAGGAACTGTGCAGAGCGTGACGTCATTCCACCGCCGGAGCCACGAGGAGGCCCGGCGGCCATCATAACTGGGGTCAGTACTGCTGTATATGTTTTTACATGATGTATAACATGCATACTGCCCTGTTGCTTTTATAAATAAACATTTACCTTTTGGACATACTACACTATCTTGGGCATCTGTTTTCTGGGGCTCCTGTCTGGAGCTTTCACTCCCACAGAGAAAGCACTTTGCCACCCTGAGAGAAGGTTTTTTCATGAAGCACCTGGCTGACCTTAAGGGGACCCCCTGGACCTGGCTTAGGAGTCTGTGATGACCCACCGTGAGGGAGATGCCTGGCTGCCTAACTTCTGATGTATCCATTGTCTGTGATGCATGATCACACATGCGCATAACCCATGCGTTTTCGGTGAGTGCGCATTTCTGTTAATTTGACAGAGTGGAGGCCGTGGGAATTCGTATTTCTACAGTGTACTATTGTGGATACTTGATTATCACCTTATTGACTTTTCATCTTTCTAAGCGCTGCACTCTGTTGTTTTGAGATTTATTGTTTAGGTTTGAGGCATTATGGTTGCCTAAAGTGTTCCAGCTGCTGACATTTATGAGAGCGCTCACTATCTTTTATATTTATTTCAAGCTTTAACATGTGCTCTGCTGGACACTGATAGAAGTCACAAGATTGCTCTAACTGCTGATGAGAAAAGGTATTTAGCAGTTTATATTTACTAAAATAATTGCATTTCCATGTT